CCCTGCTTCTTTGGGTTTCGGCTGAACCCTTGTCCTTCACAACCATTCATTTGAGGGCAGAGCCACAACCACTAAAGCGAAACCACGGTGAAATCTCCCTTAAGGAGCCTCATAGAAACGTCCAAATTGCTTTAGGAAAGCAGCTTGGGGAGGTTTTTCCTGGAAAACAGAAAAATTCTGCGTGGCCTACAACTACTGTAAGAGGCTTCCTTGGGGCTAGAGAGGCTTGCTTCAAGCTCCTCCACGCTTTGGCTCTGTGCTTTAATACCACCGGCAATCAGATAGAGCAGCCCCAAGGCTGAGTGAGCGCAAGGACAGACTGCGGGGCTGCAGGGCTTCTCAGCCCTGGTACCCACACGTCAGCCCTCATGAGGAGCCAGTTCCCACATCTGTTGGCCCTGGGAAGGTAGATGGTGTGAGTGGGGGGAACAACTGCGGTTTTGAGAAGAGAGGATCTCGTGGGTTGCTGTCTGGCTTTGCAGAGGCATCCGCTACATCCGCCTTGCAGAAGAGGTCAGGACTGCCTAAATCAAGGTGATGTCTCTGGCTTTCTGCAGCCAGCCATGCTGACGAGGCTGCAGTGAGACTGGCCAGCAGCCCAGAGCTGGCAGGGAGGGGTCCCCCATCCTGCACCCTTTCGCTGCACAGTCCTCGCTGCCTGGACATTTTATACTATGCTCGCACACCTTCTTCTTCCTCTGAGCTCCTTCCACCCTGACGAAGTGCTGACAGGATACATTTTCCTTATGTATTTTCCTTAGCTGCCTTAATTTTTGTTTTAGTGTTGGGGGGTTGGGGGGTGGGTCCATCTTTTTGTCATTAGAAATAGAGAAAAGTGTGTTTCATGTGCTGCAGAGAATCGAGTGCTTCCGGAGAGAGAAGACACAAATCACAAGGACACACTGCTGACTCTGCTTCTGAATAAGAAACTCGCATGGCAGAGACCAGAAAATATTGGTAAGCGAAGGGGATGGGAGATCTCAGCGTGTTGAATCTGTGTTTGCATGAATGTAAGGAACCTGCTCCTCAGGTTCCTCAGAAATACCAACTGCTCAGAAAGTGGAAGCACCCAGTATGGTGCCTACATGTGATTAATGTCAGAGGTTCTCCATCGTGGGGCTCTCGGTCCTGCTTTTGCAATGCGAGGTAAAGCTGCCCAAAACCACACACCCTAGATCCTCAGACATTCAACACTGAACTGGCAAGGAAGCGTGTGTGTGTACATAAGTAGTAACAAGAAGAGATGCAGCTGAGTCCCTGTGTCCTTGCTATCCCTGAGACTTGCATACTATGCCTGGGGCATGGGCCAGCCTTGGGAGTCACCTCTCCACCAAACCCCGTACAGCCCTGTGTGCTTTTGAGATACAGCTCAGTGTCTTGCTGGTATGCTAAAACCAGCAGCATCTTGTGAGCACACGGGGCAGTGAGGTGACATCAAGATTTTGCAGAGAGCGTACAGCTGAGATCCCTTGGGGTCAGGTATAGGGTGGGACAAGGGTAGTGGGAGCTCCTGTCTGAGCCTGAGCGCCTGCCACTGCTGGAAGAGGTTAAGACAACAGGCTTTTCCCACACAGTGGCGAGACCAGACAGACCATGTGGAGGCTTTTCCTGTCTCTGTGCTCTGTGCACCAAATTTAAAGCCACCCGCATGTGGCTAAACTCAGACCTGCTGAAGAGAAACTTGGGCTTTCCATGACACTACGTGCAGCAATCACCAGCACCATAGGGGTTACAAGGGTCAGCTATTCCCACGGCCACTGCAGCCAGAGGAGGGTTTGGGCTGTATGTGGTGGTCTCAGAGCAGGAAGCTGCCCTTCCCTGTGAAAACAACTGAGAACGGGGCCCAGCAAAAATTTTGTTATGAAAATCCATTTGTCAAAATCACTCAGTGCTCTTCCCCAGCCCCTTGTTAACGCAGTGAGGCAGTGGTTAAACAATCCTGGGACAAATAAATAAACATAAATAAATCAAGTCCTTATACTAACAAAGGCATTCTTCTTGCAAAGGGGATGCATTCAAGAAATAACATTTTTATGATTGGTTTATGGATTATTGCACTTATTACTCCTAGAGGAGGAAAGGCTGCATTTTATGCCAGACAATTGAATATAATGAATCTCTGAGCAGAGCACAGACAGAGGATTTACAGCAGGCAGTTTCTCAAGGCTTCATCCATAAATTAACTTCCTTCCCCCTGCCTGAGATAATCTGTTCCAAATTTCGACCGCTGTTCATTTTCTATTCATAGCAGTCATTGGCCAAGCTTATGGTTTGTGGAAAGTCGAGCAAAAATAGGCACTTGAAACTCTGAAAGAGGTAAAAATGTGAAGAATAATAATAATAACAACAACAACAACATGAATAATGATGTAATCTCTTAAATGGCACTTTTGATTTGTAGATATGCAGACCTGGCTGTCTCTACCTTATGGGTATGTAAAGACATGCTTAAGAGGAATCTGCCTGAGGTCATTGCTGGCATTGCCAGGAACAGAGCCCCCACATCCCAACTCCCAGCCCATCCCCATCCCCGGACCATCTCTCAAACTGAGCCCTGATGTAATGGATTTGCTTAGGAACTGCTGCTTTTTCTGTTGGATGAATATCTGTCAGAAAATATTCAGGATTTTTCATCTGAATTGTTTCCTTCTCCACAGAGAAACGGAGAAGGCAGTCGGCTTTTTCTTGGCACCTTCCTGCTCAGTTTCAAATGCTTAAAAAAAAGCCCAAGTCTGGCAATGTGTCTGTGTGCTGAAGTCTTATCTGACATCAGGGGGGAATTATGTCCTAAATCCCTTGGAGATGCAGACCAACGCCTGCTGCCACGTTAGGAGCTGACAAAGGAGGCAGCTCCAGGGCTGGTTTTTGGCTTTCTCGTGGGGCCCAGCAGAGACATTCTTTAGCTCTTTCCTCGCTCCTCTGCTTATTTTAGTGCATTTTTTCCCAAACTGGCACTTAAAACCAGCTGATCACTTTGCATTCACCTCCTAGGAGAACTGCTGTAGTCCAGCCACTCATTTTTCAGCTCATTTTGTCATGGTGCTTTCCATTGTTTCATCTATTTTACTAAAAAAATTAACTGTTTTTGACATCAGTTTGAATCTGGAATAAGGTACCTCAGCCCTCAAGAGGGGTGAGTGAAATGCCCCATCCTGCAGCTTTCCCTATTGCCAGTCCAGGCCCCTCCCAATTCAGCTGGAGGTTTTAGACCCTGTTCATAGGCACCTATCTCCCTTTGTCCTGGATGGAATATCAGCACAGTTCATTCATCCATCTGCATAGTTTTTTGACAGTCTAGTACAGCACTGCTCAGCCTCGACATCTGTAAGTCTGATCTATGAAGTTGGTCCCCAGGTCTCCCCTAACATTTAAAGCATGGAATCTGTGCACTCACTGCTACGTTACTTTTCCTGTTGCTCCACTCTGCCAACCCTGATGTTTGCTGACTTAAAAAGCAATAAGCTATGCTAGGCTAAATCTGTGTCTTCTGACTTCTGCCTGCATGGGTGATGTGAGGATAAACAAGTCTTAAAGGAAGCGATGGGAGTTCATATAAAAGGCCAGTGACAGAAAAGCAAGCATTGGAGATTGCTGTTAACAGGATAAAAATTAAAAAGCAGCAAAGAGGTTCACCTAAGTTGGTATCACACAGTATGTGACCTTGTTGGGCCAATTCCCCTAGAGCCTGGTGATTGATAAAGAAGCCTCCCTCATAATGGAGAATTAGGGTAACGTCCCCTAGAATTCAGCAGAGAAATCCTGCTTTTCTGTCACCGTTTCTGCTACCACAGATTTGAAGATCGCTAACAGGAATGAAATGATAACTAAGTCTTTTCTTGTCAATCCTTCAAGAGGTTAAATGAAGAAACTGTTTTTGATTTGAGCTTTGGGAAGCAATGCAGATACTGATCTTACTCTCTCCCTTCTTGCAGACTGGGAGCTGGCAAAGAAATTTGAAGAGCTTGAACAGGTGAGAGGAGCAAATGCATAGAAACATATATGCATGCTGTTGTATGAATAGCTAAACAATTGTGCACACTGTCTTTATGCCCTGTTCTTCTATCTTTGCATCGTGCTGCTCTTAATTCTGCTGCTATAACGTAAGCATATATTGCACAAAGAGAAAAGCAAAACCTAGGCTAAGTAGCTGCATGAGCTGGAAAAGATAAAAAGAGAGCAAGAGAGCTATACACTAGTGCAATAAAAGCTGATGCAGCTCTTGCCTCTGCTGCCAGTGAAAAGCCAGCGAAGGCCAAGCCAGGAAAAAAATAAATGTGAAAGGAAATCTCCATGGAAGAAAAGGGATGGAGAAGAGGAGGTCATGCTGTCTTCCTAGGCATTGTATCAGCTGGCTGCATTAGATAATGGGTTGAAGTTAGAGGGATAGCCACTGCATACCTAATTCAGAATGATTTTTGTCTGGCCTCTTTACTGGTAAGGGAGGCAGAGACCCGCTGTGCGGAGCAGAGTGCACACACACGCAGATAGCAAGAGGAAACTCCATCCTACACCCAGTGCCCAGGAACAGGGAAAGGTGTGCAGCGACCTTGATGTGGCTCCCACTGTGCCCCAAACCCTGCAAGCAGTGGAAGCCCTTTTTCTTCTTTCTCAGGCCAGGTCCAGCTGTTCATGTGGATCTTGGAGGTCCTGCTGGGTTCCACTTGGCTCTTTCCACTTCAGACTGAAAAATTACAGTGCGGCATGCCAGACGGGAGACTGTCAGCTCCTACCCTAGCTCCTTGCTCCAGTGCTGAGGGACATTAAGCTCTGGCTTCCTGGGAACACACTGTCAGAGCAGAAGTCTTGATGTTGGCCGTAGATGTTCCCAGTCTACTAGGAAAGAGTAGCTACAGATTCAGAAGAAATACCGTGGACTTTCCACATTATAACCAAGGGAAGTTAGCAAGAACTGGGGGGAAGGGAGGGGAGGGACAACCCAGAGCAATGGAGAAGTGATGCTCTCTGCTGCAGTGGGTGGATGCCTGGAGACATCCTGCCCCAGCACTGACTTGACTCTTGGTGATACAATATCCTTCTGCACAGCCTCCTTTCCACAGGGGTTTGCACCCTGGGGTTGGGGTGTCAAAAGCAGAGGGTGCCTACACCACTGCCACAAAACAAGCAGCTTGGAGGATGACATAAAGAGGTGTGAGTGCTCCAAAGGCAGATCCTCCTGGAATGATCCTGCTCCAGGGAAGATCCTTTCCTCCCCAGTGATGCTGCCAGCCAGGCTGTCTGTACCTCCTGCCTCTGAGCTGCCCTGTGCTTGCCAGCATGCTGCGGAGCTCCTCATGATGGGGCATTTGTTTACTGATGTGTTTGTTTTTAAACAGCTGGAGAAGTTGAAGGATCAGCTCTCAACTGAGGAAGGGTCAGAGGTGGCCTATGCCTTGGAAAGCCTCTCAGCATCCCAGCCCAAAAAACGCGGTAGGTTTTCAGTTAGAGCCCTCAGCCATCCTGTCCAGCCCTCATCTCCAGGGCTTCCTTTGTGCAACAGAGACAGTGACAATAAACATGCCCCAGATATGCTGAAAAACAGGTTGGCAGCTTTTCTAGCAGTCTTGGCCCTCTCTTGTTAATGGCTGGCTGTTTTAGCAGCTGGTGAGAAGGACTGTGTACCCAACCCTGTCTGCTGTCGGGGCAGATACATCGGGTCTGCACACCAGGGACCTCACTGGAGGCAGTCAGTGTTGCATCCCGCTTTTCACAGAGGAACATGGGGTTATGTGGGCAACGAGTGCCTGTCCTGGAGGAGGTGAATTCTGTACGAACACGACCCCGCTGCGCACCCCTCGTTTTGCTCTGGGCACAAAGCTAGTGCTGAAGGCATAATGAGGCATGTGGACTGCACGCATTCCCCTCTGCCAAGGTCACTGCCTCCCTACAGAGAAAAAAGGAGCACTTGTTTGTGCTGCTGAAAAGCAGCTAAAAAGGATGTGGAAATCAACGAAGAACACAGGGAGCTAAGATCTGGTAGGTCCCCCAGCTGGTCTCCAAGCTTTGTCCAGTCCGTATCCAGCGACTGAGGAGTATATTGCACCAGTGCTCCTGCAAGGCTGCCCCGACAAGCACATGGACAATGCCGTTTACGCTGGCTTTCAGCGGATTCCTCCACAAAGCAGTGGCAGCTGTAAACCAGAAGTCACTGATGACAGATCTGACCTAAAAAAAAAAAAAGCTAGTTCTGCCTTTACGCCACATGCTCTGTGCATGTGCAAGTTGACAGCTTGCCAGACAACCAAGAGAAAATCCCTTTGTGCAAGGCTTGCTTAAGTGCTTAGGTGATCCTTAGACAATCTGCAATTTATAAGCAACCCTGGAGGCTGTCATTAATTTGGCTAATCTAATTCATGCCCCCACCAGTCTGGAAGGTTCAAATGTAGATAAAATTACTTCCCCTTGCCAGATTTAAATCAGATTCTGCCAGAAATTAAAGCAGAGAATCTTTGCCTTCATCTAATGCCCTTCCAGTCTGGATGGAGCCCGTGTCTCAGCATGAGCCTGCTGATTCAGTAGAAGCTTTCTCCCAAGATCCTGCTTTCAAAAACCAGGTAGAAATCTCTTCTCATACTTGACAATAGGAGACCCACACTAGATTCAAAGAACAGGGCATGCTGGTGATTGATAGAGCTATTTTTTCCAACACCAAAATGTGCATCCTTCCCTAATCTATTTTTCTTAGAAGATCCCACAGAGATCAATGGTGTTTGGAGGACAGTTAGCAGCAGAGTGCTAGAGTGACTAGATTTTAAAAAAATGTAATGACCAGATCCAATCTGTCCAAGTCAGTATCTTGCTCTTCCAGTCAGCCACAGGCGAAAACCCCTGCACATACCTGTGAGGCAGCAAAACTGCTGGCCAGTAGACAGGAAAGAAAAAGCTGATTCCTGATATTGCTGAAGTAGAGCAAAAGGAAAAGCAAAGCCTTATTAATCAAGCAACACAGAAACAACTTTTAGACTTCTTGACCCTATAAGGAGCTAAAAGAAACATGTAGAACTGTTATATGAAGTCAAAGCTGGTTATTGAGATGTGCCTGGAAACCACAGTGCTGGCTTCACACCCCAAGTCTCTCAAGACATGGGTCTTTTGAAACCCACTCCAGGGCTAGAGTAGGAAGCTGGAAAAAGTCACTTGGGTGCTAACATCCTTCTCTTGTATACCTTCCCAGCCTGCTTTTGGAAATACTGCATCTGAAGGCTTGCCAGGACTGGAGGATGAAGATGAGCCCTTCCCCAAACTGCCTTGCTGGGTATAAATGTGTTACGAGTTTGTTCTGTCCTCTCATCGTGCTAACTCAGATGCCATCCTCCACAACCACACCACAGCCAAGTATAACAGGGACCGTCACAGGAGCTAGTAGCCCACTACCACTCTCCACTGTTCCTTCCTTCCAGGTTTAACCTATGGTCATCTTCTACTTGGAAGATGCTTCCCAACGTTCCTTGCTGTCCTGTGTGTGCCATTCAGTCTGCTGCCACTGTACACTCTTCCCTTTCTTACCAGGTCTCCCAAACACGAATTCAGTTCCCTTGAGCTTGGGCCTCTGCCCACATCTGCAGACGTTGCTCACGGTGGTGTCTGGGTTTCCCGTCACCTCCTACGAGCAGGTCTGTGATGACCTAACACCCGCTGCTGGGACAGGAAGGCAGACTGGGTGTAATGTGAAGGGCTCAGGGCTGCCTGCCTCGGCTTGCTGAGCCAGAGCTGTTCCTCATCGTGTCTCGTCAGTGTACACAGTAGGTTTGGGGGGAGGACAGGCATGGAAGTCTGGATCCTTTGGATATCATTCCAATAAAGATTTTCTGTTGCACAGAAGCATGTGCTGTTTTCTTTCTCACCTCTTGCAGAGACCCAAGGGGCAGCACGTTTCCCTTGATGTAGGCCCTTGTTACCTAATGGTTCATGGGAAGTTTAGAATGGAAAAAAGGGTCCCATTAAACACCTAGCTGTAATGACACAGGCCTGTTTTAATGTGCCTGAGGAAGACGACCTTCCTTTTGACCACAACTAGGAATGAAAGTTGGCTCTTCCCCATGGATATGTGTGGGCTGCTGTCCTCTGATTTCTACCTACTCACCCCAAAGAGAAGTTTTGAGAAGAGATTTTTGGCTCATCTGGCTGCTCAGTGCAGATACTATCTGGCTTTTTCTTCTGCAGAATTATGTCCAAAAGGAAGAGATCACAATCCATCAGTGGTTCCTACATATATTCATCTTAAGTCATGTTACCTACATTTATTTGCAAAAACAATGGACCATGTTCCCAGAGGTATAAATTCAGAGTAAATCTTAAGGCCACTGTTGTTAACTTTGAGGTTTCCAGAGGTGTAAATGAGAGCAGAATCTGGTAGCCACCCTGAATGTGTGGACTGATTTTAACTAGAATTGAACTGTCTCTCCAGCCCTGTTGAGCCATGCTATTGAACTGTAGCTTTCACACCACATATTCTTTAAAATGTTACTCCCAAAGCTGTAATTACCATGCTACATTCATTGCCCTGGGCTCTGGCAAGATGTGCGCGCTTACCACAGCCGTACCTTGTATGTACTTCATTAACAGGAGATCTTTTCATCCTATTACAGACCAAAGCTAGCACCTATGGAATAAAACCAGCTTGATTATATCAGTGAGGTCTAATGACATGCAAAATACAGTTTGTTGTTAACATTAATTCTTTGTAATTTCCTTGGTAGTGATTCAGAACACATTTCCCATTTTCTGTTGCTTTTGTGCAAGTGAAAAGGTATGTGGGAGCACACTTTCACATACCCTCTCAACAACACCAAATCCAGGAAAAATTATAGCCTACTACCAAGAGAAGGGTCTCTCTTTCTTTAAGATTTTGGTGCTCTACCTGAAAGGGAGGTGTATTACAAGAGCTGCACCAAGTGCCCCAAGCTGGTGTTCAGCTCAGATGCTTTCAGCTTGCAAGAAATCCCAGTGCAATGAGAGGCTGGAGCAGTAGACTCCATCTGTTACCTGCTAGCTGTAGCCATGCCTTCCCGACCTGGTGTGACAACTCAGGGAAAGGAATACCGGGTTTGTGGCTATTTAACAGCTTGCTCTGATCCTAGATATGGGAATTCCCTGGAGTGCAATGCACTGTGCGGCTTAGCAGTGATTAGCACTTAGCACACCACCACATGGTGTGCTACATCCTATCAGCAGTTATTTAAGTGCTTATGCTACCCAAACTACCCTACTATTTCCTCACAGGCACTATATGCTGTTGTGTTAGCTGCTTCTGCTGGAGTGATGAACAAGTGTTGAATACAATTCATTTATTAATTCAGAGCAAAGAAGGTGATGCTCTCCCTAACCTCACCCTCAGCATGTCGCTCTGGGGGGGTCCTGTCCTTTCTCCTAAACATGCAGAACAAAACCTCTTCTTTTCCTCAGGTGCCACCTCCCCATCATGGCTGCTCATACCTTACCATGCTTGGGCAGTCACTCTTGCTAAAGTTAATGACCCACAGGCAATAATTAAAGGGATTTCCCTTAGACATTCTAGTAGACTGTGTTGTTTTATTAGCAGAAAATCCTCACAGACATCTGAATGGATTTGCAAAGAGGCAGCACAGGGCAAACCTAGCGTGCAATGGATGCTGTAGTATATCTTCATTTCACATTTGTTGACCTCCATGGTATGCATGCTGACTGAAGCTATCCAATATCGTCTATGAAAACAAATTGTGGTGGTCAGCCTTTCAGTCATCATCGTGTTTTAAACAGCACCTGCCAATTTATGGATTTTAAAGAGTGCTTTTGGAGCCATAGGAGGTCTCAGTGTGCTCTGTGGTGGACGGGACAGGGAACAGAAAGGCTGCTGCTTTCTCCCAAGTAATCCATGCAGTGAGGTGGGACTCAAGAGCAGGACTGAGGCTTCCAGCTCCCAGTTCCAAGCAACATCAGCACAGACACCTCTGTCCTGCTTTGCTTTCACATCACCCTTCAGATAGAGGGCATTTCTGCACACAACTACAGGTTTTAAAACCCGTCTTCATTTGGAAGCCCAGGCTAATACCTGCCAACTGTTACAATACTTTTATGATCAGCAGTGTCTCTGCAAAGCTGCTGAGTTAGCATTGGATTCCTCTGATCTGAGTCTCCCAAAATATGTCACGCAATGACTCTGTCCATGCTGCTTTTGACAGACAGCTGTATAGTCGGTCAGGAGTACATCACTTCCATAATCTGCCCATGCCCCATACATATGGCTGCCTTGCAAGCAGATTATCTTCAGACAGTCTGGATGAGCTCAGTGCAATAAGATAACTGTTTACTAAACCACAGGGCTGGCTCAGGATAGGTGGTGGCAGTGCACTGCAGAGGACAGAGTCTGGGCTTGTCTGGCTCTGCTTGCAGATTTGCTTCTAGCATGGACAGAAAATCTTGTCTCGGATCAGCCAGTCTACATGCACCCACCAATCCAGCTCTCAAAGCCTTCACCTACAAGCTCAAAGGCAGAAAATGAGCAACAGGACCAGAGGAAAAACAGGGAGCGAAAAAACCAAGGTGACCATGGACTTACAGCCCTTCTTTCTTTCTGTGACTTTCAAGATCTTGGTCTGGAAAGCATCTGCGATGCTTGATCTCACATGCAAGCACTGATAACTCACCCACAGAAGTAGAAATGATCACCTAACTCAGCTAGAGAGTGTTCTACTTGATGGGAAAGATGGGGGCACCACTTGACGTGACTGACTGGTTTGCGCAGTGCTCTCAGCAGCGTTATTCTATATTGGAGATGTCAGGAAAAGCAAAGTTTCTTGCAAATTTTCTGTGGCTGGGCCAGTCTTGGTCTCGGGGAAGGGCTGTAAGCAAGAAGAAAAATGGGAAAAGCCCCTGCTATGGCTGAGCACTGCCCCTCTCAGACATTTACTGGATGCTATCTGCCCTTCTGAGTAGGACCCTCATCTCCCACCATGGTCTGAACCAGGGCAAAATCCCAATCCCCAGAGTAGCTTTAACTTCAAAGACTCATTGACTTCCCAGGTCCTTTCCTGTAGCTGACTGAGAAGCCAACTGCATTTTTCCCCATTTTGCTGGCTGATGGCTGTCTTCGCATAAGATCAGGAAATTAACAGTTCCTATCTCCAACCTTACTCTCTGCCTAACACAGAGTATGTGGCAAGAATAATTTTTTTCTTAGTCCTGCTTAATCCCTTTCTCAATGGATCTTCTTTGGCAATTCTAAAGATGATTTATACCCAAGAATAGCAATCCAAGGAATTTAGCTGACATGGACTCAAGTCCAGGAAGGAATATCTGAGATTTAGAAAACGTCAGCTAGGAATCTGAGCATTGAGATGTCAGCAAACAGCTCTTTTCAGCTATATTTTATAATCTAGAAAGAAGTGGAAAGCATGAAACAGGATTTAAGATAACCTGTTTTACTCTGAAATGGAGAGATGTTTACATTTTACCAGAGTGAGAAATTCTTGTACCTTTAGAATTGGATGTCTATCTGATTATGCCCCATGCACTCATCAAGAGGCTAAAATAAGGCATATGATGCAGATGGCCTAGGAAGTAATGACTTCATCTTTGGATGCTTTCCTATGTTATGCATAGGGAGGAGTGAAATGTATTCATCAGCTTAAAGGAGGAAACTAGAAATCTCGCCACATTTCAGGATCTCCCATACAATGAAAACATGTCTAAATATGGTGCAGAGATAAGAGAAAGATTAATAAAAACATCAGGACAAGTACTAAGCTATTATCATAGTTCTTATTCAGGCTAACTCCTAGTGAAGTCAGTAGACATCTTCTCCCAGACAGCAGTTCAAATAAATTCTAGGCTTGTCCCATAACTGTTAAATCCTCCCTTCATCTACCAAACACACACCCTCTTGAAAGAAATGTGCAAAGCAAACTGTCTGCTTTTCATGGACTGCTGTTGGCATCTCTGGAAGTTTTATTTTCAATCCAAAAAATCTGACAGTCCTTGCTAGGATAATGAACTTCTGCAAGTTTAAGAAATAAATGCCATGCAATTAAACTATATACATATTTTCTGTTCCCTCCTATCAGTGGCACTGTGCACAACTGTGAGAGCGGTCTGACCCGATGAATTGAATTTGTTATTATTTGAAAATGCAACATTTGTAAAATGCAATGTGAAAGAGATTTTGCAGGAGATCAATTCCTTGAGCGTTGAATCATTAGTCAATGACAGTCTTGTCATGCTGTGATGCATCTTCTGTATTTCTGTAACGTTTCCAATACAGCATCAGTCATTCAGAACAGAAGCACCTGTAGGCAGAAAAGCAGTACACATTACTTTGTCCCATGTCAGAAATGCAAGGCTTGGATAAGCACACTGTAGGGTGATCTACAGGAGATGGAAAATGTTAGAAATACTCGTTTTCTTGTAGGGAAGGTACTAAGTTCTAATTTAGGGCATTGAAGCTAAATTGACAGTCACAACCCACATTTTAAGAAGCTGTTATTCCCCAAGCCACCCTTTCCAAGCCTGCTGGCATGACTTGAGTACCTCCATGTAAC